GATTTCTGTTCACGGATTTCGGCTAATTTGAGCCCTTTAAGCGCCCCCGGCCCTATTTCATTATGAGCATACACCCACCGACTCGACTAAATGCATTTATATCCACTTCGCCTTAATCTTGCTCCATCGAAAATAAACGAGTACATTCCCTACGCACACCCGTCGACCTCTCTCCATGAATTAACCAAACCATATTTCACATGCATCATATAATAGGCTTCAAATCTTGCCGGCTTATGAAATTTTGAGTCCCTATTTGATAAAAACGCGCCCTGTTTTCCCAAGATAACCCGTACTTATTTATGTAAAATCCGGGCGTGCGTTTTTGCGAACAACATCCTCTATCATATTTATGAAGAGATAGTGCCCTCCCGTGTCCAAATCCGCATCTATAATTAAATTTCCAATTTAAAATCGAGGCCGAGGCATTACAGTTTTGTCTGAAAGACAAAAGAGAGTAATAATTGTTAGTTATATGAGGCACGTGGAACGAAAACACGAACAACAGTTAACACATTTATTATACAAACACAAGTAAATAAACACTAGGGTGAACTTAGACACGCGCGCGCGGACAACCGACCAGCCATTAGTGTGACGTTCGTCTTCGTCATGGCTACGTCATCGCTGGCGCAGTCGCGCAGACTACCGCCGAACACGCACTTAATCTATGTTTCCTAATAATTACACGAGAGCGGATTTCTAGGTTTAATGCTTTTTGTGAAAAATGTAAGCACTTCAAAACTTTTTTATATCTGTAACTATGATACAATTTGGAGTCATTTGACACATTTTTTTTATGCTTATTTGCTTTTTTTTCAATTTTATGCATATTAAAACTTATATGCTTATTTAATGCTTTTTTCGACGAATATGAGATTTAATGCATATTTTGTTCAAATGCCGGCCTATAACCATGTTCTCCACCTCATTATAATCGGCTCTGGGGGCAATGGTATGTTTGGAAATTTTTCCTTAAAATATTGCACTCTTAGTGGTACTTTATCAAAAATCTTTTTACCATTTGTACCAGTACCTTAAAACCAAATAAAGCTAAAACAAAAAATTGGTCCAAGGTTACTTCGACAGAACTTCCCTCGCTCTTGAAGTACAGTCCAACAAACTCAGCTTAATTGAAAACATAAAAAAATGTAACTAAAAAATTAAAAACTAATGCTAACGTATGTTCAAAATATACAGGGTCACCAGAATGCATGGGAATGGTTAAATATCTTAGGACCAATTTTACACATGTTTTAAGTTACATGTTGTGAAAAGAGGTCTACACATATTAAAACAAAAAGACAAATTGTGATGATTTTTTTTATTCGCCGTGAACCAAGAGGGCGGAGCTTAACTGCAAAATACTTATTTCTTTACAAGAAAACATGTCCTTGAGTATCGTGTTGTTCAAAGAATACTATACATATTAAGAAAAAAAGGCAAAATATTAACCCCACCCACCCACCCTATCTCAATTGTGATGATCTTTTTTATTCTTAGAAACTTAAATCCAGTTTAAAATGGTACATTTTTGTAAGGGAATATGGATTTTGCAATTAGGCTCCGCCCCTCGGTCTGCCAACGAATGAAAACTTTATTACGTGGTAGTTTCTTGCAGAGAAATAATAAGGGCTTTTCAAATAAATTCCGCCCTCTTGGTTCACGGCGAACAAAAAAAAATCATCACAATTGAGACAGGGCGGGGGGGAGGGGGGATATTTTAAAAAAAATTTGGAGTTTTAAATCTTACATTTTTCAACATTTTCATGTATTCGATGTTTTAAATTTTAGCTTTTGGATTTTTTAGACTTTTAAAATTCTTTTTTTTCAATTTTTCATTTCAGACTATATTTTCGTCAAATTTTTAAAGTAGTACTAGGATGAGACTAATTTTGGTCAGTGACATGCCTTCCAAGAAAATAGAGGGCGGGTGGGCGGGGCTAGTATTTGATAAGGTAAGACCGAATTTGGCACTTTTGACATTTTCGACCATTTTTTCAACTATTTTCAAGTATAACAAAAAAAGTTACAATTAGTGCTCTTTTTTATTTTTTTCACATCCTAGATTACATGATTAGTTTCCACTCCCATTCGACAGTAGAACATAATTAGCCCCGCCCACCCACCTGGTCTTCTTTTCAGTGATTAATTTTATCCGATCTGAATAAAGTCAATGTTCTTATATTGGACAGGAATAAAATTCGTCGTTAAAATGGAACGAGAGGGAGTGGTCGAGGCTAAGACTTGTTAAAATAAGGCTGATTTTCACAAATGACATATCCTATAAGACACTAGAAGGTGGGTGGGCGGGGATGACTTGATAAGATTAGACTCTTTTTGGCAAATAACATATATTCCAAAAAAACACAGGGCGGGTGGGTGGGGCGAGCACTTGTTGCAATAAAACTGATTTTGGCAAATGACATATCCTGTAAGAAACTAGAGGGTGGGTGGGCGGGCCTAGTATTTGATAAGACAAAACTGATTTTGGCACTTTAGACATATTCGACTATTTTCAACCATTTTTGAAAATATGCTGCACATTTTCTTGTAGATTTCGACATCCAGGAGTCATTTTCATCTTCGATTCTTCGAAAATTTCTACCGTTTTTCGCCTTCCAGTAGCAAATAGTGTAACAAAAAATTTACGATTATTAGTTTGAAAGAATACTATGCATGTTAAGAAAAAAAAGATAAAATATTAACCCCGCCCACCCACCCCATCTCAATTGTGATGATTTTTTTAATTCTTAGAAACCTAAAATCAGTTTAAAATGGTTAATTTTTGTAAGAAAATATGGATTTTGCAATTAGGCTCTTCCCCTCGGTCTACTAAGGAATGAAAACTTCATTACTATTTGGATCAGGCCAGGTATGGGTGGGGCTTAATATTTGGCTTTAATTTTTTCTTAATATACGTATGCAGTATTCTTTAAATAACACAATACTCAAAAACGTGTCTTACATGTTAATTTCTTGTAGAGAAATAATAAGGACTTTGCAGTTAAATCCTGCTCATTCAGCTCTCGACGAATAAAAAAAATCATCACAATTGAGACAGGGTGGGTGGGTGGGGCTTATATTTTGCCTTTTTTTTTCTTAATATACATAGCACAACAAGAAACTTAGAACACGGTTAAATGGTACATTTTTGCAAGGAAATATGGATTTTGCAATTATGGGGCGGAGCCTAATTGCAAAATGAATATTTCCTTATACAAATTTTCCATTCTAAACATGTTTTAAGTTCATGTTGTGAAAAGAAGTCTACACATATTAAAACAAAAAGGCAAAATGTCAGCCCGCCCACCCGCCCTATTTCAATTGTGATGATTTCTTTTATTCGCCGTGGACCAAGAGGGCGGAGCTTAAGTGCAGAATACTTATTTCTTGACAAGAAATTAAAAAAACGTTTTTGAGTATCGTGTTATTCAAAGAATACTATGCATATTAAGAAAAATAGACAAAATATTAACCCCGCCCACCCACTCCATATGTTAATTGTGACGATTTTTTTATTCTTAGAAACTTAAAACCAGTTTAAAATGGTAAATGTTTGTAAGGAAATATGGATTTTGCAAATAAGCTCCACCCCTCGGTCTGCCAACGAATGAAAACTTCATTACTATTTAGATCAGGGCAGGTATAGGTGGGGCTTAATATTTGGTTTTAATTTTTTCTTAATATACGTATGTAGTATTTTTTGTATAGCAAGATTATTTAAGAACATATTTCACATGATAATGTCTCGTAGAAAAATAACGATTTTACAAATAAGCTCGACCCCTCGGCTTACGACGATTAAAAAAAAATCATCACATTTGAGAAAGAGCGGGTGGGCGGGACTTATATTTTGCCTTTTTCTTAATATACGTAGTCGTCGTAGTAAGGATTTAAAGTCATTAAATCTATGGAGTATTTTTCCAATCCTATAATAAAATTTGATTACCCAAACGACCGGAACCTATTCACAGAAAGGGTCTTGAGTAAGTGTACTTCAATGGTCAAGTCCAGGTAAAATGCATACGGTACGATACGCCTAACTAACATGTATTTGTCATCCCGACAAGGCCGGCATTTGAACAAAATATGCATTAAAACTCATATTCGTCGAAAAAAGCATTAAATAAGCATATAAGTTTTAATATGCATAAAATTGAAAAAAAGCAAATAAGCATAAAAAAAATGTGTCAAATGACTCCAAATTGTATCATAGTTACAGATATAAAAAAGTTTTGAAGTGCTTACATTTTTCACAAAAAGCATTAAACCTAGAAATCCGCTCTCTAATTATGACAAATATATCAAAGAATTTGAGGAAGTAGTTACGGAGTTTAGCGAAGATTCTTCTCAATCGATTAAAGATTGCATAAATATTTTGGAAAACAAACATTTGCTACAAGATCTAGCTTTTCTAAGAAGCAATTATCAATTCGTATGTGAGGTAATAGAAAAGTTAGAAAAACCCAACATGTTGTTGGTAGATGCCATAAACTTAGTGAAAGAATTAAAACAACAAGCAAACGCAGTAAGGGGTGATATAAAAATGCAGGTTTCGGTGTTCTTTCCGACGTTGCTCGTGTTTTACAAGGCCAGAAGGTGGAAAATGTGGAGTTAGATTCAACATTAGTTGCAAAATTCAAATTTGCGCCAACAACGAGTGTGGTGTTGAACGTACATTCTCCAATTTTAAACACATTTTAAATGATCGGCGAAAAAATTTTACAGTGGACAACTTGGAACATATTACAATCATAAATTGTTTTAAAGAAAACTGAAATACGTGTGTAAAATATAAAGTCTAGAATTATTGTAACAATATTTTATCCAAAGTTCTAAGAAGTGTTCTTTGATTTGTAATATGATTATGTTTTTAATGCTTTTTTGCTTAAAATAAAACTTTTTTATTGAAAATGTTGTGCTTATTTAAGCGCTTATTCTAAATTTTTTTGTGCTTATAAATCCGCTCTCTACAATAATAATTGTGTTGTTTGCAGGGCCGGCTCCCCAATAAGCCCCCCAGCGTGGGCCATATTTCGTTCCTCAGCGAGCCCCGCAACGGCCGCAACTACCGCTCGAGCTTCCACAGCGAGCCCTGCACCCGGCCCAGGATGTGCCCCGACGAGCTCTGCCTGGACACGTCCTGCCACAGCGCCGACTATTACGGCTCTGCAGTTTTATAGGGGCAGGAGATGTCACCCAAGTGTGACATCAAGATGGGCATCAACGGAGCTGTCGCTTTCTATAACTTCGAGCCGGCGAGATCGAGGAATATTTAGTGTTTGGAGGACGCGTTGGGGACTCAGAGGTGGACCAGGGAGTACATGTGTTGAGTGCGACGGAGCGGCTTTTATACAGGGTGTAGCGAATGTACATAGATCTTTTTTATTTTTGTACTGGGTGTTGGTAGCGTGTAGGAATTTTCGAAAGGAGGGCGTGCCTATTTGCATTTTCTTCTTCAGGCTGGTGCTTATCATTATTTGACTTAACTCAGGCTGCTGATTCTGTGACATCGATTAACTCAAGATTCGGGGTAGAGGTTAGTTCTTTTGCGAGGGTGTTGTACATATTCGTGTTAATAATATTATCTGTGATTCATTTTCACCGTAAGATATTTAACAGTTACTGTAAGATATTTGTAAATTACTTGTTCAAATTATAAATAAAATATGAATATATACGTTTCTGGTTTTATTCTGCATTATTTTACGAGCTACGAATTCCTATTTTTGACGATCGTACCTCTAAAACTTTATTTCTCCGCATTGCCAGTTTTCATTTTGTTGAAAAATTAAACAAGCAACATGTTTCGCAGTTACTCGTCGACGAAACTGCAAATAATCATAACACCGAAGCTTCCTTATTCAGGAACGCAGCACGTTTATGTCTTCGAAGTTTTATTACTTTAAAACTACAATCCTGTTACGACCTGTAATAACATCGCATTTCGCCAACATTGTCTGTAATATGAAGCATGAATAAACAAAACGACTTTTAAATGTTTTTTTTTGTTTCTTTTTGCACTTAAAGGGGATCAAATTTCATTTAGTAGACCATTAAAACGTAAATGAAGAAAATTTTTCGTAGACTTATGCTCTGAAATCACAGTCGTAATATCTCTTAAATAATAATGGATAAATGGGAATTAATTAAATTTATAAAATTAAAAATTTCAAAAAATTTCCAAAACTAAAAAAAAGTTTCTTTTGAATTTAAAAATGTTCTGGATTATTAAGAATACTTCGCGACTTACATATCTGATACCTGAAGAAATATGACTTAAATGGACTAAAATAAAGTTAATTCAATTCAATTCAATTCAAATAACTGAAAATATTTTCCACAAAAATTTTCCAAATATTTACAAAAAATTTCTAAAAAATCTCGAATAAATTAAAAAAAAAACCTGAAACAGAATTTATTTTATTCAAACAGACAATTTTTCCTAGATTTACACACTGGAGTCACTTTTATAATATCGCCATCAATTATAGATAAATGGTTGATGATTAATTTCCGAAAAATGTCAACAACATTTCTACAAAATTTCCAAAAATTTCTAAAAAATTAAAAAAAAAATCTAAAAATTTTCCAAGAAATTAAAAAAAAAAAGCTGGAACAGACTTTATTTTAATCAAACAGAATTTTTTCTAGATTTAGACACTAAAGTCAGTTTTATAGTACTCTATAAATATGTAATAATAATGGATAAATTTCCAAAACAAAACTACAAAAACGGTTTTACTGAAATTTAAAAATATTCTGGATAATTAAGAATTCCTCGCAAATTACAAATCTGATGTCATTTTGGCTACATTTTTTTTCAAACAATCGAAACGAAAATCTGAAAATATTTTCCACAAATTTTCCAAAAAGATATTAAAATCTGTTTTAATGAAAAAAAGCATAAATTACTATCACAACTAGGGATCTGATGTCATCTTTGCTAAACTTCTTTGGATAACCAAGAAAAATAAACATATTTTCCACAAAATTCTCGCAAAATTTCCAAAAATTTTCGAAAAAATTTTACGACGGTTTTCATACAAATGAAAATAAGAATTAGCTTACAACGAAAAACTGTAGAAACAAAGCATTGAAAAAATAAAGAAAATGTAAAAACCAAAAATTGCGATATAAAATCGAGAAAATGACAATTAAAAAAAAAAGGAAAATAAAAAGTAAAAATCAAGAACTTGGAAAATTGAAGAATCCAAAAATTAAAAATTGGGAGACATAAAAAAGGAAAAAGTGCAAGATTGAAAAAACGAAATTTTGAAAATCAAAGAAATCAGAAAATCGGATAATTTAGAACGAGAAAAATTGCAAAATTGAAAAATTTTATTGAAATTGTCGATTCTTTAATGCTTTATTTCTTCAAATTTGAAAAATTGCAGAAACAAATAATTAAAAAATCGAAAGTTAAAAATCTAAAAAGTGCAAAATCGAGAAAATGAAATATTGAGAATAAAAAAAAACGAAAAATCGGATAATTGAGAACTCTAAAAATGCAAAATTAAAAAATTTAAAAATTGGAAAACCAAGGAATTGAATAATCAAATAAATAAAAAATTGAAAAATTGTTTAAACGAAAAATTATAGAATCGAAAAAAAAGGAAATGAAATTACGAAAAATTGTGATATAAAATCGAGAAAATGAAAATTAAAAAAATCAGGAAAATGACAAATAAAAATCAAGAACTTGAAAAATTGAGGAGACGAACAATCGAAAAATTAAAAATTGTGAGACTTAAAAATGGAAAAAGTGCAAGATTGACAAAACGGAATATTGTAAAATCAAAGAAATCAGAAAATCGGATAATTTTACGATAGCTCTTCGTGTTTTCATTTTTACTTTTTTAGTTTTTCGATTTTCCAACTTTCGGATGTTTCAATTTTTCGGTTTTTCATTTCTTCAATTTTGCTATTTGCAATTTTTCCTTTTGTTTTTTAGTTTTTTAATTTTTTCCATCATTCGTTTCTTCAGTTTTTCGATTTTCGATTTTCCATCTTTTTTTGTTTCTTCAATTTTTAGATTTTGCGATTTCGCGAATTTTTTAATTTTTCAATTTACAATTTTTCGTTTCTTTTTTTTCAATTTTTCGATTTTTAAATGATTCGACTTTATAATTTTTGGTCATTTCTACTTTAATTTTTTCAATTATTCGTTTCTTCAATTTTTCTATTTGTGATTTTTTAATTTTCCACTTTTTTTTATTTCTTCAATTTTTAGATTTTGCAATTTTTCGCTTCTTTAATTTTTCATTTGTTGAAATTTTCGAATTTATATCCCAATTTTTCGTTATCTCATTTTTTTTAAGTTTTCAATGTTCCTTTTCAATTTTGCAATTTTTCGTTTTTTCAATTCTTCTATTTTTCATTTTTTTACGATTTCTTAGTTTTTCGATTTTTAATTTTTCGCTTTCAGTTTTTATATTTTTCAACTTTTCGGGTGGAGAAAATTGGAAAATTGTATAATTAAAATTCAGTAATGAAGAAACGAAAAGATATAAAATTAAAACTTTGAAAATTCTAAAAATTGGAAATCAAGAATTTGAAAAATTGAAGAAACAAAAAATTAAAAAATCCAAAGATTAAAAAATGAGAAAATTAAAAATCGAAAAAACGAAATATTGTTATTAAAAATTTAAAAAAATCGGAAAATCGCGTTATTGAGGACTCTAAAAAATGCAAAATTGATAAATAAAAAATTGGAAAACAAACTAGTTGAAAAATCAAATAAATGAAAATTTGAAAAGTTGAAAGAATTCCTCACTAATTACAAATCTGATATCATTTTGGCTACATTTTTTTTAAATAACCAAAATCAGACTCCACTTTAATGAAAAACATGTTCTGGATTATTAAAAATACTTCACGAATTACAAATCTGATACCATTTACGTCGTATTTGTTCAAATAACTGAAAATAAAAGCTGAAAATATTTTCCTCAGTTTTATTATTTTAATGCAAAAGAATATAAATTATCAGATGCTTCTTTGCTATACTTTTTCAGATAACCGAAAAAAGGGAACCAATTTATCACAAAATTTTTTAAAAAATTCAAAAAATTTTCAAAAAAAATCCAAAAACCTTCCAATGAATTAAAAAAAAACTTAAAACAAAATTTATTTTATTCAAACAGACAATTTTTCCTAGATTTAGACAGTGAAGTCACTTTTATAATATCGCTGTAAATAATCGATAAATGATTAATGATTAATTTCCAAAAAATTCCAAAAAAATTCCACAAAATTTCCAAAAAAGTTCTAAAAACAAAAATATACAAACGGTTCTACTGGAATTTAAACATATTCTGGATAATTAAGAATTCCTCGCGAATTAAAAATGTCATGTCATCCTCGCTACATTTTTTTTTTCAAATAACCGAAAAGAAAATCTGAAAATATATTGCACAAATTTTCCAAAAAATAAATATTAAAATCAGACTCTGTTTTAATGAAAAAGAGCATAAATTACTATCATAATTAGGGATCTGATGTCAACTTTGCTCTATTTCTTTGGATAACCGAGAAAAATAAACTTACTGTTGACAAAATTTTTGCGAAATTTCCAAAAATTTTCGAAAAAATTTTACGACAGTTTTCATACAAATGAAAATAAGAATAAGCTTAAAACGAAAAATTGTAGAATGGAAATATTGAAAAAATAACGAAAATGAAAAAACAAAAAATTGTGATTTAAAATCGAGAGAATAAAAATTAAAAAATCAGCAAAATAAAAAGTAAAAATCAAAAACTTGAAAAATTGAGGAAACGAACAATCGAAAAATTAAAAATTGGGAAACTTAAAAATGGAAAAAGTACAAGATTGAAAAAACAAAATATTGAAAATCAAAGAAATCAGAAAATCGGATAATTTAGAACGGGAAAAATTGCAAAATTGAAAAATTTAATTGAAATTGTCGATTCTTTATTGGTTTATTTCTTCAAATTTTCGATTTTCAATTTTTCCTTTAGGTTTCTTAAGTTCCTATTTTTACAATTTTTCGATTTTTCAGTGTTCCGATTTTATAATTTGTTTTTTCAATTTCACTTATTTTAATTTTTCGTTTGCTCAATTTTACGAAAGCTCTTCGTGTTTTCATTTTTACTTTTTTAGTTTTTCGATTTTCCAACTTTCGGATGTTTCAATTTTTGAGTTTTTCATTTCTTCAATTTTTCCTTTGGTTTTTTTAGTTTTTTAATTTCTTCAATTATTCGTTTCTTCAGTTTTTCGATTTTAGATTTTTCGATTTTCCACCTATTTTTGTTTCTTTAATTCTTATATTTTTTAATTTTTCAATTTTTCAATTTACAATTTTTCGTTTCTTTTTTTTTCAATTTTTCGATATTTTAAATGATTCGACTTTATAATTTTTGTACATTTCTACTTTTATTGTTTCAACTATTCATTTCTTTAGTTTTCTATTTGTGATTTTTTAATTTTTCACTTTTTTTTATTTCTTCAATTCTTAGATTTTGGAATTTTTCGATTCTTTCGTTTTTCATTTCTTGAAATTTTCGATTTGCAATTTTTTTAGTTTTCATTTTAAATATGCGATGACTATTATTATTATTACAATTTTTCACTTTTTCAAATTTACTGTTTTAGATTTTTT